AGTTCTGCCAGATGCCCGTTCACACCCCGGGAGAGCAGCAGCCGCAGGGGGCACCGACAGGGGCCGCGACAGGGGGACAGGTGCACTCCACACACACCCTGCCACTCTCCTACGGCAACGGACACACCCCAGGTAACTCACACACCCCGGGTAACCCCACACACCCCAGGTAACAGTACACACCCTAGCACACACCCCAGGTGACCCCACACACCCCAGTTAACCACACACACCCCAGGTGACTGCACACACCCCAGGTAACAGTACACACCCCAGCACACACCCCAGGTAACCACACACACCCCAGGTGACCGCACACACCCCAGGTAACAGTACACACCCTAGCACACAGCCCAGGTAACCCCACACACCCTAGCACACACCCCAGGTGACCCCACAGGTGACTGCCACACACCACACAGAACAGTAACAGTACCCACACACCCCAGCACACACCCCAGGTAACACACACCCCACACCCCACCCACACCCAGCACAGCACACACCCCTCACACTCTTCTGTCTTTTCAGTTCATAATCCGAGTTTCGTGAACGTTCACGTCAAACATCCCCCGGAGGCGTCGGTCCAGGTGCACCAGGTGTCACAGGTGGACAGCTTCAGCTCCGCCCACTCCTCACCTGGCTCCGCCTCCTCCTCTCCTGGCTCCGCCTACGTGTACTCGCCTGGCTCCGCCTACTCATACTCGTACAGTTACAAAATGCCGCAGCAGTCGAGTTTCCCGGTGTCCAAGAACACGCTGGGCCGATGCTTCCAGGAGACCACCGGCACACAGGTAAATGCACACACCACGTACACACACACGTACACACACCACGTACACACACACACTACACACACCACGTACACACACCAGGTACACACACAGTACACACACAACACACACGTACACACACCCAGGTACACACACGTACACACACGTACACACACACACACACACACCACGTACACACACCACGTACACACACCACGTACACACACCAGGTACACACACCATGTACACACACCAGGTACACACACCATGTACACACACCAGGTACACACCAGGTACACACACCACGTACACACACCAGGTACACACACACACCACGTACACACACCATGTACACACACACACACACACACACCAGGTACACACCACGTACACACACACCACGTACACACACCAGGTACACACACACGTACACACACCACGTACACACACCAGGTACACACACCAGGTACACACGGTACACACACCACGTACACACACCACACACAGTACACACACCACGTACACACACCACGTACACACACCAGTACACACACACACACAGTACACACACCAGGTACACACACACACACACACGTACACACACACACACACACGTACACACACACACACACACACACTACACACACCAGGTACACACACCACGTACACACACCACACACACCACGTACACACACCAGGTACACACACCACGTACACACACCACGTACACACACCACGTACACACACCAGTACACACACACACGTACACACACCACGGTACACACACCACACACACCAGGTACACACACACACCACACACACACACACACACACCACACACACCACGTACACACACACGTACACACACCCACGTACACACACCATGTACACACACCAGTACACACACGTACACACACCACGTACACACACCACGTACACACACCAGGTACACACACCATGTACACACACCAGGTACACACACACACGTACACACACCACGTACACACACCACGTACACACACCATGTACACACACCAGGTACACACACACACCACGTACACACACCATGTACACACACCACGTACACACCACGTACACACACCACGTACACACACACCACAGTACACACACCAGTACACACACCACACACGTACACACACCAGGTACACACACCACACACCACGTACACACACCACGTACACACACACACACACACACACACACGTACACACACCACACACACACACACACACACACCAGGTACACACACCAGGTACACACACCATGTACACACACCACGTACACACACTACGTACACACATCAGACACAAGACGAACAGAATCCTCCTGTCAGTCGTTCCTTTATTTTTCAAAATAAAACCAAAACTAAAACGAAAAAACAATCTTCATTATTTGTGTCCAAAGCCAAAATTAAAAAATTATAACAATTAATTGAAACATCAGAACAGATCAGAGAACAGAGTCATATGAGCTCGTTAATGCCACACTGGAACATTCTTGGCAAAATAACAAACCTGTGTGGATCTAGTTTAGTTTTAAAGCACTTCTTCTTGTTCTTCATGTTCTTCATGTTCTTCATGTTCTTCTTGTTCTTCATGTTCTTCATGTTCTTCATGTTCTTTATGTTCTTCATGTTCTTCATGTTCTTCATGTTCTTCATGTTCTTCTTCTTGTTCTTCTTGTTCTTCATGTTCTTCATGTTCTTCATGTTCTTCATGTTCTTCTTATTCTTCTTGTTCTTCATGTTCTTCTTGTTCTTCATGTTCTTCATGTTCTTCTTGTTCTTCATGTTCTTCATGTTCTTCTTATTCTTCATGTTCTCATGTTCTTCTTGTTCTTCATGTTCTTCATGTTCTTCTTCTTCATGTTCTTCATGTTCTTCATGTTCTTCATGTTCTCCATGTTCTCCATGTTCTTCATGTTCTTCACGTTCTCACGTTCTTCATGTTCTTCATGTTCTTCTTGTTCTTCTTGTTCTTCATGTTCTCACGTTCTCACGTTCTTCATGTTCTTCATGTTCTTCATGTTCTTCATGTTCTTCATGTTCTCATGTTCTCGTGTGTCTTCAGTGTGGGAAGGTTCTCCCCGGCCTCTCGAAGCAGGAGCAGTGCTGTAACTCCTTGGGGACGTCCTGGGGCTTCCACCAGTGCAACAAGTGCCCCAACAAACCAGGTACTCCCTAGGTTCTCTTTAGGTTCTTTTTAGGTTCTCCCTAAGTTCTCCTTAGGTTCTCTTTCTCATGTAACCGCACACACCCCAGGTACCCGCACACACCCCAGGTAACAGCACACACCCCAGGTAACCGCACACACCCCAGGTAACCGCACACACCCCAGGTAACTGCACACACCCCAGGTAACTGCACACACCCTAGATACCTGCACACATCCCAGGACACACCCCAGGTAACAGCACACACCCCAGGTAACCGCACACACCCTAGGTACCTGCACACACCCCAGGACACACCCCAGGTAACAGCACACACCCCAGGTAACAGCACACACCCCAGGTAACTGAAGAAGGACTTTAGGTTCTCTTTAAACCAGCCCTTGGATCTTTCTGTTCTGTGACGTTTAATTATGGCCATAATTTAATTCTGAATAAAAATTAATTCAGTTTTAAAAAGTTCATGTTAAACATTTAATTCTTAATGAAAATGTTTATTGTGAATTAAACTTAATAATGAAGTGTTTGGTTTATTCTGATTCTGATTCTGTTTGTGTGTTTTGTGTTTTGTTTTGTGCGTCTGCAGCCGTTCCTCTGATCGACTGTCCCCACGGATACAGACGAGTCAACAACACCTCCCACTGCCAAGGTCCCGAGTTACACAACTATACACACAACTATACACAACTACACACAACTACACACACAACTATACACAACTATACACAACTACACACAACTATACACACAACTACACACAACTACACACTATACACACACTACACACTATACACACAACTACACACACACAACTACACTACACACTACAACACAACTACACACAACTATACACACAACTACACACAACTACACACAACTACACACACAACTACACACAACTACAATACACACACACACACTACACACAACTATACACACAACTACACACAATACACACAACTACACACAACTACACACAACTGTACACAACTATACACACAACTACACACAACTATACACACAACTACACACAACTACACACAACTACACACAACTACACACAACTACACACAACTACACACAACTATACACACAACTACACACAACTATACACACAACTACACACAACTATACACACAACTACACACAACTACACACAACTACACACAACTACACACAACTGCACACAACTCTACACACTCTACACACAACTATACACACAACTATACACACAACTCTACACACAACTATACACACAACTATACACACAACTATACACACAAACTGTACACACAACTACACACAACTATACACACAACTATACACAACTCTACACACAACTCTACACACAACTGTACACACAACTACACACAACTATACACACAACTATACACAACTCTACACACAACTCTACACACAACTGTACACAACTCTACACACAACTATACACACAACTATACACACAACTATACACAACTGTACACACAACTATACACAACTATACACACAACTCTACACACAACTACACACAACTATACACACAACTATACACAACTATACACACAACTATACACACAACTCTACACACAACTACACAACTGTACACACAACTACACACAACTATACACACAACTATACACAACTACACACAACTATACACAACTATACACACAACTCTACACACAACTACACACAACTATACACACAACTATACACACAACTATACACACACTATACACACAACTATACACACAACTATACACACAACTATACACACAACTATACACACAACACACACAACTACACACACAACTATACACACAACTACACACACACACACTATACACACAACTACACACACACTATAACACACAACTACACACACACTATAACTACACACAACTATACACACAACTGTACACACAACTATACACACTACACACAACTACACACTACACACACAACTACACACAACTATACACACAACTATACACACAACTACACACAACTACACACAACTATACACACAACTACACA